TCGCCTAAAGATTTACAGCCTTGTAAACCAATGGAAGGTTCAACTTGATGTTGTTGTTGTTTGCAACTCATAGCGACCCTGTGTACAACAGCCCTAAACCCTGCTCTATCCTGTGCCAATCGCACTGCCTCTGACACACCCATCCCGATTACCACAGTCACTGAATCAACCCATCTCATAGAGGGTCTTCCCCTCTTGCACCGTCCCTCCACCCTCCCAAGCATGATGTCCCTCTCCAAGGACCTGTCCCTCCTTACAACATGCCCAAAGTATGTCAGACAAAGATCCAGAATCCTTGCCTCCAAGGAGTAGCTTGGTTTAACCCTCTCCAGGATGAATCTGTTTGTTTTCTTGTAAAACCTATGTACCTTACATGTATAGCAAGTGATTGAAAACACCATGGCCTGAATCAGGGACACTTTCATCTTCAAACTGACATCATTGTCAGCATTTGTTGTTGTTGTTGTTGTTGTTAGGTGCTTTTAAGTCGAGCATGACTCATAGCAACCATATTAAAAAATCTTAAACCTGTTCTATCCTGTGCCATTCACACACTTCCTGACACACAAGAGCCCATTATGGCAGTCACCGTGTCAGTCCACCTGATTGAGGGTCTTCTTCTCCTTCACTGACCCTTCACCCTTCTTAGCATCATGTCCCTCTCCAAAGAATAGCTCCTCCTAGCAACATAACCAAAGTATGTGAGCTGAAGCTTCATCATCTTTGCCTTCAAAGAGCACTCCAGCTGTACCCTCTTTAAGACAAATCTGTTTGTTCTTTTGGCCATTCATTGGCTATTCAGTGCTCTTCTCCAATACCATAGCTCAAAGGTGTCAGTTTTCCTGTCATCCCAATTTATTGTCTAGCTCTCAGATACATAACAAGTGATTGGAGAGACCTCAAACTGACATCATTACTTCTCAATGATTTGGAGAGGTCCTTGACTCCAGATTTTCCCCATGCAGTGTGTCTCCTTATTTCCTGACCACTAACACCAAGAGTGTTAATTGTGGATCCAAGCAAAGTGAAGCTGTTGACAGTTTCAGTCTCTTCTCTATCCTCCATGAAGTTGCCTATTAGTCCAGTATTTTCCTTTTGCAGTTTTTTCATTTGACTCATTATCATTTATCATGTCCTCCAGATTTATACATGTTGTGAGATAGTTTGAAGATTCATTATTGCTCATAGTATCCCATTGTTTATATACAGCACATTCTGTTTATCTGTTCATCCAATGATAGCCTTACGCTGTTTTTACCTTTATGCTTCAACAAATTGATTGTCCGTATGCTTATTCATGTCATCATTCTGTTTCTGTGGGAGAAAGATAGATAGTCTTCTCTCTTGTGATTAACTGCCTCTGAAAACCCACGAGAAGGTCAGCTGTGAGACAGTTCTGATTCCTGGGCACACAACAACAACAGCAATAACAACATTTATTTTTCTAGGTTATATGACTAGTAGTAGATTTTTGGATTGCATATATCTAATGTTAGCTTTTTGAAAGGAAGTACTATATTGTTTTCCATCGAGGTTGTACCATTTTGTGTCTCATCTGTAGTATACAAGAATTCCAGTCTCCTCACAGCCTTGCCTTGCCAGTATTCATTATCTAGGTTTTTTTTTGTTTTAGTTTTAAATAATCTACCAGTGTTACACTTGCTGAGTGTGACATGATTTGTCATTGTGGTTTTGATATGCATCTCTAATGTTTGAGCTCTTAAGACTTAGTGGTAAGGATTGCACTGCCAATCCCAAAGATCAGGGTTCAAATGCAATAGCTGCTTGGCAGGAGAAAGATTGCTCCTTGTATGTGATTTATTGCCTTTGAAAACCTACTGGGGGGTCAGTTATGAGTAGATTCTGACTATCACACACAACAACACCGATTGAGAAAGAGGCTCCTAGTGACCTACTGGGAAAAGAGTTGCCGGGGCAACCAAAGGCGGATGGTTCAAATCTACCAGCTGCTCCAAGGGATAAAGATTGGCAATCTCTTGTGTTATTGATAACCTCTGAAAACCCACTGAAAGGTCAGTTTCAACTTGTTGGGAATGAAAGAGAGTTAAGAGTTGAGAGCATCTTTTTGTACATTTGTTAGTCACCTGAATGGTGAAGTATCTGTTCATGTCTTTTACTCATTTTTAAAATTGGATTTTTAATCTTATTGTTGTTTAGATATTGACATTTTATGTTGATTTTATAAATTCAAATTAGATACTTGTATATGTTTTAGCCAATTTCCACACACACACACCCAAGTCTGTAGGTTCTCTTTTTCTTTTTTTGGCAAAAATTTTTTATTTGATAGTTGCTTTGATTTTTAAAAGAGATCCCAGTTATCTAATTTATCTCATTTGTGTCTTTTTAGTTACATTTGGTATGCTGTTTTCTACCTTTCATTATAATGGGCAGAGATTTTATCCATGTTGAATTCGTTTTCTGTATGATTTAAGGTCCAGATCTTATTTTCCTTTTCTACAAATGGAGATAGAGTTTTGCCAGTACCATTTGATAAAGAAATTTTCTTTTCCCCATTTAATAGACTTTGACCTTTTATCTAAGATCAGCTGTTTGTAGGTGTATAGATTTACTTCTGGGTTCTTATTTTTGTCCTTTTAGTTTATGGATCATTTGTTATACCAGTACCTGGGTCTTCTGACTATTGTCCTAACATAGATCAGGTTTTTGAGATCGAGACATGAAGCCATTTACCTTGTGCTGCCCCTTGAATGCTGCTTGGCTTATTTTGGAAAAAGGGATGATCTAGATCTGTGTATATCATCATGGACAGAACTTAAAAACAATACTGAAGAAAACCTCTACTGACTGGGAGCCAATATTTGGCAATAGCATCTCAGGCAAGGGTCTCATAATAAAAGTTTACAGAATCCTGTACCGCTTCCACAAGGAAAAGTCTGATAACCTAATTACAAAATGGGCAAAAGATATGAAAGGCCACTCACAGAGAAAGATTCAGATCGCCAACAGACACATGAAGAAATGCTCAAAATCACCATCTCACCCCGGTAGCAGTGGCACAGTTTAACAGGACAGGAAGTAATAAATATTGGAGAGGGTGTGGCAAGATAGGAACTCTCATACACTATTTTACAATCACTCTGGAAGGCAGTTTGACATTGCTTCAAATAGCTGAACATAGAAATTCCATATGACCCAGCTATTCCACTGCTTAGAATATACCCCAAGAAAATTAGAAAGAGGGTTGCACAATTTAATGGGTGGTGGGGTAGGTAAAAGAAATGAGAAAGATCTGGTGTGAAAACAATGTATACGAACTTTGTAACCAAACCAGTATAAAATTAAAAAAAAATTCTGCTGTTCCTGATAACCAATGGAAAGAAAGGCTACTTTATGAAA